TATGCAATGTGAAGTAGAAATGTGTGGCCTTTTTGGGGGGGATTTTCTTTGACCATTCCCGAGGAAGATTCGCCATGCATGGAGTCACCCATTTCAATATGAATCTCCCACACTTTTTGCCTCTTGCCCTGCAATACTAGAGCTGTGAATGGAATTTTTCTTTAGTGTTTCATATGCATCAATTTTAAATGCTAATCCAACTTTCAGGGATTTCTTTCCTAAAAGGAAAAGTTTCATCTCATAACAACACTTTCTCACTTTTTAAATCTTTTTTTGTTGATTTAAAATTATTTGAATATACTCTGGTCAAGCTTTTAAATTTCACACAGTAAGTGCAGCTAGGTCTGGAAAGGACTCAGAGCTGGCCCTCCAGTGAGTTTTCAGATGCTGTCCATTATGCAAAAAGAAGGAGATTGCCAGTCTTTCTCCTAAGGAGCAGCTGGAGGATCAAATCAGACCCGACTTCTTTGAATTGGCAGCACAACTCCCTACTTGCTAAAACACAAGAGCTCTTATTTCAGGAGATCAGCTCGAAGGTGGAATTATTCCCAAACGCTTCTGAGCATCGTCACGCTCGACTATGAAAGCCACTGAGGTAAGTTTTTCAATCAACAGTGTTGCTTCTTTCATTAAATATGGCAACATTTAGCGTAGCGTAGAGATAAAATTATTCCTCAACATTTTCTAAACACAGTAGTATATTTTTATTAATTAATTAGAGTAAAGGTTTAAAAATTATATTAGTTGATCATCCAATCTCTCCTAGGTGTTTTATAACAATAATTATTATATAGTAATTTAATTAATTACAGTGTCTAACCAATCTCTTATGTCATATTGTCATTCTCTTCATTTAACTTGCTATTTAGTTGTAATATGTTATCTTCATCCAAATTCGTCAAAAGATATGAGTAATCTTCATTCACTTTATTTGACAGTTGATTTACTTGAGGCCCATTGAGATTAAATAATGTGTAGGAATATATCTCAATCATTAACTTTAGGCACCATACTTCTTTAAAGACCTGTTTTACTAATCCAGCCTAGCCATTGTGATGAATCAAGGAGTAAATATAACTCTCACAAAATGGCACAAATACAAATACTAAATAACACAAACTATCTGATATATAATGTAAAAACAAACACAATCATTTCGAGGATCACATCATAGGAATAATGTGAGTCTCTACCTACTTAGAGAAAAAGCTGGAGATGATTCCTTCTTCACTTATAGCATGGCTGGATTTGTCTCTAAAATATCTACTTATATTTCTCTGTATAGAAGAAGCATCCAAGATAAGAGCAAACATATTTCTTGAAAGATAAATTCTCCAAATCATTAATAGAGATGACAAAGTGCTTTATTTAGCAAATGAAAACTATGAGGCTTCTTGATATTAAACAATGTATAGAACTATAAATGAGCTATTTACTATAAAGGATAATTAACAAATTGTGAATTAAATACAATTCCACAAGATGAGACAAATAGTTTTACTAAATTGTACAAATGACCAGGTGTTTAGTATCAGAACTGACATAGGGAACTCTTCCTGGAATCAAATGCTGGGAGACAATATATGGCTCTGGCTTCCCTAGAGATGAATTTAGAGATGACTCTTTTTAAACTTTTAGTATGGTTAGAAACTGCTCTGCTCTTGATCTAAGTTTCCACTCTTTTTCTATCCTAACTGTTCACATAGTCACAAAAAGGGAGGTAAGCCCTATGTCCCTAGCAGGGTTCTAAATGTGATCACATGTGTCTTTTCAATGCACTCCTATAATCAGCAATATGCGTGACATTGTTACCTTCCCTGTACAGATCAGGAAATGTAAGCTGGGAGCAAACATACCCCCAAATTAAAAGAAGATTCCAGTGAATGATTCAAGAGCTGATCTTTCTGCTTCTAAATTCAATACCTTCAAAATTTAACAGGCAATATGAGTAATTTGTAGAATGACGTGGTGGCCCATGTTTCAGAAGGAAGGTAGGGAGGAAAGAGTGAGGGAAAAAAAAGAAGGCCTTCATCAATGGAGATATGTACACCTATGCTCATAGAAGCAGCATTCACAATAGCAAGAAAACAGAAATAACGCAAATGTCCATCAACAAACAAATAAATTGAGAAGTTGTGGCACATTCTCACAATGGGATATTATGTAGTACTAAAGAACAACAATTTCATAAAATACTATACACATGGGAGAGTCTGGAAAACATGATGCTGAGTGAAATGAAATAGCTCAGTCATATAAAGACAAATACAGCATAAGAACAGGATTGTGAAAATAGGATAAATGCACAAAATGTGTAGAAATGTTCAAAAGGGGAAGCAAAAATAGGAATGGGATAAGAGGAGAGCAGAGGTTAGTGAATAGATGGACAGATGAAGGAATAGGAAAGATTCAAGGGGGACTTGGAGAGACAGAGTGAGAATAGGCACTGATAAAAAATAATTCCTTATATAAGAGTGTATATGAATACAGCACAACGTACATGAGTAAAACACAATGTATATAAATGATTACATGCAAACCAATAACAAAAAACCCCAGAAGTTCTTCAATGAAAACCGCAATATATGACTATGTGTCCTTAGTATTTGGAAATCTATGATTATATATTATATATACATTTGTGTGTACCTGTATATAACTATATGCACATTGTTTAATATCAAGGAACCTCATGTGTCTCATCTTTTGAATAAAACATGTTATATTATGTGTGTATGTATAGATTTAAACATATACACACATACACATATTATTTGTTGCCATTTACCATTGAGTAGGATTCAACTCATAGCTGACCCTCCAGGGGATTTTCCGAGGCTGCAAATCACATGGGAAGAGATTGCCCATCTTTCTCCCTAGAACAGCTGTTTGATGCAGTTTATCTTTGGGTTGACAGCATGACTCCTTACCCACTAGGCCACCAGAGCTCCCATATACATATGTGTGTGTCTTTGAGTGTGTGTATAGTGGTGGCTTAGTGGTTGGTACAAAGTCACCTTACAAACTCAAAGTCAAGTGATTTGAGTCTATCAGCTATTCCAAAGGAGAAAGATGAAGTTTCCCCTTGTGCATTTTACAGCTTTTGAAAACTCACCAAACGGTCATCTATGAGTTGATTCCAGCACAATGGCACATAACAAAAAAGATCTATATCTATGTATAACCTAGGAGCTCTGGTGGCCTAGTGGCAAAAAGCTGGGCTATAATCCTGAAGGAATGCAGTTTGAGCAGCTCTGTGGGACAAGGATGGGCAATCTCCTCCCATGTGATTAACTGCCTCAGAAAACCCACCAAGGATCAGTCCTGACTCTATAGGACACAACAACAACAACAATATACAACATAAGTATTTACTTTCAAGACACTATGAACAAGCCATAGCCAGTCATTTTCAGTTAGTATGACCATTGTTAGGGAGTTCTGGTGTCACAGATCGCAGGCACTACTTACACACGGCAGCACCACTCCGGCAGTTCAAATCCACCAGAGGCTTGCACTATGAAAAAAAAAAAAAAGATGAACAGTGTCCCATGCAATTTAAACCCCCTAAAATCCATTGCTGGGTCATCTATAAGTCAGTTCAATTGCAATGGGAATGAACTTTGAGTTTCGATATTATCATGGCTATAATTATGAAGCTTAGTTTCTAAGATTGATCCCTCATTTGCAAAAAGGGTGAAACAGTATAAAGACACATGTTGTTTTCTAAAGATTAAAAATAATATGGGAACCTCTCCAGAGTTCTGAGAAGCAACAAATCAGTCTAGAGACTAAGGTGCACCTGATTCAGGCCATGGTCTTCGCAATGATTTGCCATGCATCAGAGAGCTGGACAATGACTAAGGATGACAGAAGAATCAATGACTTTGATTTATGGTGCTGAAGAAGAGTCTTGAATATACCATGGACCATCAAGAAAATTAATAGATATGCTGGTGCTGGAGAAGAGTCTTGAGCATACCATGGACCACCAAGAAAGCAAATAGGCCTGTCTTGGAGAGGGTGAATGCAAGTTTTTCCTTGGAAGCTAAGATTTTCAAGCTCTGTCTCATGTACTTTGGGCACTTTTCCAGAAGGAATCTGTTCTTGGAGAAGAACATCATGCTTCGAATGGTGGAAGGACAGCGCAGGAGAGGTAGACCCCAGATAAGATGGATAACTGGGGCAAAAGGGGTAGGTGTGTCAGAGCAAGTGAGATTGCCTCAGAACAGGGCAGGCTTCAGAGTTGCTATACGTAGGGTCACTATGAGTCACAGGTGACTTGACAACACATAACAATAATAACAACAAATTATATAAAGGAATATACGAACCTCATAGTACCATATTTATGACAAGTTATTAAGCTGTGTATATTATAATTGAGTCCAGAGAGAAAGCATTATATGATTTTTCACAGTAGCTCTTAGATCTTTTCTTTTCATCACTGTTACCCTTCACATCATTTGTCAACAAGTATAAATATTTTGCTGGCTGGTCATCCTGTTTCTGTCTTGTATCAGCTTCCCGATCTTTGTGAAAGACACCTAAAAACCTTATGAAATTAATATTCCAGATTTCCCCAAACATTTCATTATTCTTCCACTTAACTATTTCCTAAATAATAAGGAAAAGTCCTCTGCTTTACACACATGACCTTCATTCATCTCCACACTCAGGCTTATCCACCACTATGCATAATGTCACGACTTCCAATAGAACTCTTAGTTTTCTCTATGCCAAAATTACACAGATTTACTTCAGCCTACTTGTTCAGACAAATCCCTTATATCTCAGCAGGGGCGCTTTATCTGAGCTGTCTTCAAGAATCCAGAATCTATATTTCCATCTTTTAAAAAGACAGAAGAATGGGGAGAAACCTTTAATAATTCACATATGAGCAAAAAATCTCATTAGTTATCAATATACTCAGTGTTGAGTTAATAAAATGGGTTGTTCTTTTTAAATTTTCAGATAAAGTAATCAGCCACATAAAACACATGGAAAGGAGGAACAACGTGACAGAGTTTGTTCTACTGGGACTCACAGAGAATCCAAAGATGCAGAAAATGATATTTGCTGTGTTTTTTGTCGTCTACCTCATCACTGTGGTAGGAAATGTGCTCATTGTGGTCACCATCGCTGCCAGCCCATCACTGGGATCCCCCATGTACTTCTTCCTGGCGTATCTCTCCTTTATTGATGCTTGCTATTCTTCCGTTAATACCCCCAAGCTTATCATAGATTCACTCCGTGAACGGAAGACAATCCTATTCAATGGATGCATGACTCAGGTCTTCGGCGAACATTTTTTTGGAGGTTCTGAGGGCATCCTTCTAACTGTGATGGCTTATGACCGCTATGTGGCCATCTGCAAACCCTTGCATTACACAACCATCATGAACCGGAGAGTGTGTGGCCTGCTAGTGGGAGTAGTGTGGATGGGAGGTTTTCTTCATGCAACCATACAGATACTCTTCATGTTTCGATTACCCTTCTGTGGTCCTAACATCATAGATCACTTCATGTGTGATCTGAACCCTTTGCTCAATCTTGCCTGCACCGATACCCACGCGTTAGGGCTCTTTGTTGCTGCCAACAGTGGGTTCATCTGCCTATTAAACTTTCTCCTTCTGATGGTCTCTTATGTAGTCATTCTGCAATCCCTAAGAAGCCACAGCTCAGAAGGGCGGCGCAAAGCCCTCTCCACGTGTGTTTCTCACATCACAGTGGTCGTCTTATTCTTTGTGCCCTGCATATTTGTGTACATGAGACCTGCAGCCACTTTAGCTGTTGACAAAGCAGTTGCTGTGTTCTATACCATTATTACACCCATGTTAAATCCTTTAATCTACACTTTGAGAAACACACAGATGAAAAATGCTCTAAAGAAATTGTGTAACAAAAAAGCTATTTCAGATGATGAGTAAGTATCTCTAAAGCACAATGATTCTCCTGAGTAGAAAGTTAAGAGAATATTATTTTCCTGCAAGTACTATGAATGAAATAAGAATAAAACTAATCACTGCAATTCAGATTATCAATTTAACAGAATGGAAATATTATAACAAAAACTCAAAATTTATCAGTAAAGTATATTTTTCTATTTAGAAAATTCAATCAAATCAAATCAGTTTAGTTAATTAAAGTAAACCAATCCACGTAAATAAATGAAGATATTTTCCATCAAAGTTAAGAAATAATAAAATATATTAACATTGAGTAAAACTAATATGATTTAAAAGAAAGACACTGCTATTTTATTCATTTTACAAGCAAAGATCTGATGACAAATTATGAAATGTAGAACAGTAAGTTGAAGAGTTAGGGGCAAAAATTGCTTATTTCACAGATCTTTTTCCTATATTCTGTGATACACTGCAGAGTAATAATGTTGGAAAAAATCAAATCATTGTTGTTGTTGTTGTGTGGCATCAAGTCAGAACCAACCCACACCTGACCCTCTGGTGGATTTTCGGAGTCGGTTAATCACGCAGAAGGAGATTGCTCATTCTTCTTCCATAGAGCTCCTGGCGGATATGTGACACACATTGAATACACTCCATTACCTACAATTACAAATTTAGTAATTTTTCACTAGTTAATCTGCTAACATTTAGGACAACTCATAGTCATTTGTTGCCAACTATATTCTAATGGCTAACTTTTGAGGGCTATGAAAACAATCTGCTTCAGATAATGAAGATTAGCCCCAAGTTCCTTGTGGACTTCAAAATAGTTTTATATTATTCATTTGACCCAAAAGGAGCAGTATTCAAAAAATAACACTTTAAAACGAAATGAAGATTTCCTTTTTTAAATATTCAGTCAGTCTCTAGACACAGCAGTTGCTATATTATAGCATAAGATATGGTGAACAATAAATATTGCATAAATAATTATAAGTATACTAGAAGATGAAAATTGCATAAAAGTTAAATATTTAAAACCCAACAACAATCATAGTAGACTCTAAGGAATTCTTTCCTTATTTTATATGATTCAGACTCTAAGGAAAAATCCCATTGGATCTCTTGGGAGAATCAGAATTTGTTTTTTTATAGTTGTTTAAACCACGGCACGAGAAAGAAATGAGACAGGTTCTCAGCATCCGAGCAAACATTTTTCCTTGATATTTCCATGCTCTCTTCTAGGTTTCACTATTTTATGAAAATGTGTATATTATGTTTCTCTGTTCATTGATTTACATTGTTGTAGCATTTCATTATTAAAAACTGTTTTGAAAAATTATGATTTGTCTTTACACAGAGCAAATTACAGATAGATATAAATATTCAGAAATAGATAAAGATATAAATATAGACATAAATACAGTAATATATATTTCTTTTCTAAGTTTCAATACTTCATTCATTAACCAACATGTATTTTTTAACTGAAGAAATGCATTAGACAATATTTTCTAGTATATTCACTAGAAAATAAAAGAAACAGAATTCCTACTTATAATCTATGGAAAGACTCTCAGAAGAAATAAAATCATAACACCATATTATAAAATACCAAGGTAGTAGAAACGTACTGTCGTATGGAAGCAGACGAGAGGAAGACACAATGGAGGTTTGGGAGGCAGAAAACACCTAAAGAAAAGTCATCAAAACTAGGCCCTACTCTTTGAAAAGTAAAAGAAAAATTCTTAAAGGGGGGTGGTGGGCAGGGAGAAAAACACAACAATGAATGAATGGAAATCCAGTCTCTGTAAAAGTTCATTAAAATTAATTTTTAAAAAAATGAAAAACAAAAAACTAGGCCCTAAAGGAAACAAAAGAGTCTACAAGCTCATTAGGCATTTTTAAGCTGGAGGATAGCTAACAAAACTAGGAGGTAAAAAGAGTTTGAAATATTCAAGAAACCTGAATAACTCTATATTTTGATAGTTATTAAATTATCTTTTTAAATTATCAATTGTTTGTTGAATCCAAGTGCATATAAGGCACCATGCTAGGCCCTGAACTTGTAAAAGATAAACAGTAAGCAGTGAAGGTCAGAAGAAAAGACCAGGGAAAATAAAAAAGAGTCTTAAAAACAGAAGAAAATTTAAACATCCTTAACAACAACAAAGAACAGTTTAAGGTTCCAAGCCTGTAATAGGTCAAGGGTTAGATCTGTTTTTCATTGAATTGCTGTGAGTCATGGAGTTCTGTTGGCGAGTGGATAGAAAGTTATGCTACCAAGCCAGAAGGTGGGTGATTTTCATCTGTAGCACTTCAGGACTGGTTTTATTTGTTTTTCATTAAACATTCTTAAAAGTAGTATAGCACTGGTCTGTCAATTAATTGTACAGAGGTAACTTGTAGTTATTGTGATGCTAAACACTGTGACACTTACATGTTAAATGCAGTAACAGTCACCCATGGTGGACAGTGGTGGAGCTTCCCAATCAAAACAAGCTTGGAAGCAAGAGTGGCTTCCACTTCTGAAATAGCTTGCCTCTGGAAATTCTATGAACTTAGAGAAATGATGAAAGTTATGCAAGTGTTCAGGTCTTTCGTTCATAGGGTCACTATGAGTCGTCTATGATTCAACAGTTCTTAACAACAACTTAACAGGTGCAAACATTATTGATATTTTGGTATATAACCAACTAGGTTTTTGCCATTAACATGCCTAATTTTCATGTTTTTAGAAAGGCAAATCTTCTACTCATTATGGAACCACCTTGTTTCATAACATGTTAAGTTGGGGGGGGCTGTTTATTTTAAATTTATGTTAATGAAAATTTACAGAGATAACATGTTAAGTTTTAAAGTGGTTGAATAACTTAATCTCCCAAAGAAGTATCTTACAGTCACGTTAAGTCTTAATGTGAGAAAACACTGGGGGCGGGGGAGAATTGTTAGTAGGTGGTATGGCTCTATTTGAATTTTAGAACAATGGCTTACTTCATGGGAACAAGAGTAGAAACAGGGTGACAGCTAAGAATTTATCATAACAATTTAGCTGTGAAAGGATGATGGCATTGGCTTTGGCAGTGCCAGTGAGTACGCAAAGTGTGAAGGACACTGTTGTGTCTACTACATGTCTTCTTACCAAGGGCAGTGCAACCTTTATTCAGTTGCTGAATTTGGATAATAGGTCACAAGTAAAAAATAGGAGTTACATTCATCACCAAAAGACCACTCATAACCAATAACTGCCCACCACGAGGTACAAAATGGGCTCATGTCCATTACACAGTGGGAATCTATGAATGCCACTGACCACAGTTGATGTAATTTCTTTCCTTACAACAATCAGCTTCCCTCACTCTCCACCTGATAAATCACTTTCAGCTCCTCACTTCAGGCTATCCGTGTAGGGAATTCAAACTTCTTGGAGAAATAAAAATTCAAGACATGTTTAGGAAAGAAGAAAGAGAAAGAATAAATTTGCAATGAGGTAAAAAACTCAAGAGGGGGAAGCCAAGGACAATATAAGATAAGGGGTGATTACAATATTGTTAAAGAAAAGGAAGATGCAGAGAGACACAGAAATGCAGCAAACATCAGACTCTTAGACAATCAACATGAACAGCCAACCACAGGTGAAAGGACTGGTCACATGATCATGCATTGTTGTTGATTGCCTTCAAGGCAAGCACGACTCATAGTGACCCTATGAACAAAAGGCCTGAAGCCTTCCTATCATAAATGACTATGCATAGCTCCAATATACGGTATTCTTATAATACTAGTGTGTACTGTAAATATGCACATGCATTTCTATGTATAAAGTATAGAAAACAGGATGCAATAGTTTACAATCTCTGTAAACACAGCCAAGCACCCTGAGGAAATAGGTTACTGTTTCTGTGGCCTTGGGATCATGTTGCCTTTGTTAAGGGACATTGAGTAGACGACACTCATAGTGACCCTATGAGCAACATACCTGAACCTGTTCTACCACCATGATTTCACATCACATGGTCAAGCCCATTGCAGCAATAACGGTGTCAGTCCATCTCACTGAGTCTTCCTCTCATTCACCCATCTTTACTTTTCCAGCACGATGTCTTTTTCTAAGGACTTTCTCCTCCTGACAATCTGCCCAAAGTGTGTGTGACAAAGTTTCACCATCCTTGTCTCTAAGAAACACGCCTGGTTGCACTTTCCCCAAGAAAGATTGTTCTTTTGATGGTCCACGGTACATTCAATATTCTTTAAGAACACCACAATTCAAAGGTAGAGATTCTTCTGTAATCCTTATTCATTGTCCAATTTTCAGATGTCTATGAAAATACTGAAAATCCCACACCTTGAAACCGGGGCACCTTGCTCTTTAAACATCTCTTTGAGGGAGCTCTGGTGGCCTAGTGGCAAGAAACTGCACTGCAATCCCAGAGGTATGTGGTTCGAATCCACCAGATGCTGTACTGGAAAAGGAGGGACAGTCTCCTCCTGTACCAGTCAGATCCGAGTTGACGGTGCACACAAAAAATAATAATAATTTAAAAAAATTAAACCATCTCTTTGGTCTTGGTCTTGTACTTCTCAGCAAAGATTTTTGGCAATATGACAGACTTTTGGCCCAGTGGTGATAATTTTTGTTTTCATGACTTTGAGATAAAATCCATATGGAAGGACTAAGTCTGGTCTCCTTCAGTAAGTGCTTCATGTCCTCTTCAGTTTCTACAAGCAAGGTGCTGTCAACTGCATAACACAGGTTGTTGATGACTCTTAATTTTAATGCCACATTTTTCTTCATATAGTTTGTTGTTGTTATTATGTGCTGTTGAGTCGCCTGTGACTCATAGTGACCCTATGTACAACAGCCCTAAGCCGTGTTCTATCCTGTGTCAATCCCACTGTCTCTGACACACATAACCTCATTACCCCAGTCACTGAATCAATTCACCTCATAGAGGGTCTTCCTCTCCTGAATTGTCCCTTCACCCTCACAATCATGTTGTCCTTCTCCAAGGACTGGTCCCTCCTTGCAACATGTCCAGAATATGCCATATGAAGCTTCAGAATCTTTGCCTCCAAGGAGCAGCCTAGTTTAACCCTCTCCAAGGTAAACCTGTTTGTTTTCTTAGCAGTACATGGTAAACTCAATATTCTTCTCCAATACCACAGCTCAAAGGCATCAATTCTCCTTCTATCCTCCCTAGTCATTGACCAACTCTCTGATGCGTAGCAAGTGATTGCAAAGACCATGGCCTGTATCAAGTGCACCTTAGTCTCCAGAATGACACCATTGCTCTTCAGTACTTTGGAGAGGTTCCTAACAGCAGACTTTCCCATTTCAATACATCTTTTAATTTCCTAGCTGCTGGTGCCAAGAGTGTTGACTATGGAGCCAAGCAAACTAAAGCTGTGAACAATCTCAATCTCTTCACCATCCATCCTGATGCTGCCAGTTGGCCCAGTGGTGAGAATCTTTGCCTACTTGATATTGAGCCTCAATTATTTTCTCAACATATATATTGAAAAGGTATGGAGAAAGGATACAATCCTGATGCACACTTTTACTGATTTTAAATCATGTAGTATTCTCTCAGTCTTCATTTGAAACTACAGTCAAGGCCGATTGACATAAGTCTACAAAGATAACTACTTTGAAAAGATGGGATTTTAAAACCTGAGAACATCCACCTAATATGCAACAGTTAATTTTTTATCTGTACTAATTAAAGATGAGTTAAGAAAAGATGTACTGAAAAAAAATTGTCCAAAGATATAATGGGTCACACAAATTTCAACTTTCACTATTTTAAGACCAGAAGAATGAGATGATGCCTGACTACCACTGGCAACCATTCAAAATGAATCACTGTAAAAGAATGGGAAAGAATAGAGAGTAAAATACCTAACAAAACTTGAACAGAAAAGAAAAGGCCAGGCTTTCTGGTCCAATACAGACTGCCCCAAAACGATATCCCTTATTCATCCTTCAAATCCAGAACAAAAGTCAACTCTGTGTATCAACTTTAAACCAAACAGTTGTTGTTGTTGCTGTTATGTACCGTCAAGTCATTTGCAACTCATAGCGACCCTATGTACAACAGCCCTAAACCCTGCTCTATCCTGCGCCAACCGCACT